GCGAAAACGGTTCAAGATACCTAAAAATTGTGTGCGTACACATCTGAAACCTACAGAGATGAAAAATTTCCCCCGGTTTGTTCACATTTCTCGCTGTATCTTCGCTACTATTAGTGACACCGCAGTGTGTTGTAGCCTATAACCTTCCTTGATAAATGCTCTTACCAACACAATAATAATTTTTCAATTACGAACCCGTACTTCCTGAGATAAGCGCGTTCAAATAAACAAACAAACTCTTCAGCTTCATATATTAGTATAGATTATCCAGTCGATGGTATATAAATACACAGTTTAGTACTATTAGGCACTATTAATGACTACAAGAAGTCTCGAAAGATTTAAAAAATTATGTCAGTTATTGTATGTACGTTTCAGACAAGCTGTAAAGGGGCAAAATTTTGTATCTGGCATGTTACACGCTATGTTACTGAAAACTTACGCCGATATCGCTAAAGAACTGGGAGTCGCGCCGGGAGGAGAATTCAGGAGAGCGTATCATGAGGTTACAGATTTTACCTTCTTCATTTGCATAATATCATATACTAGCTATAGCCGCGACTTTGTCCGCGAAGAATAGTTTTTCAGCATCAAAATTTCATCATCATCATCATTCGTCATGCTGTCTACGACGTCGACCGCGTCCCGGTGTTCTTGCCAGTAAGGTAGTTATGAACTGTCCCAGACGTGTTCATAGATCGTTTTAAAAGGAATTATTCATCAATATCACTTTTAATATATATATATATTTGGGTAATATTGAACCGTTGCTATATAAACGAATAATTTTCTTCGTTTTTATTTTACATTTCCGCAGAATGATTATTTATAGCCTTCCACGATAAATGCTCTAACCAAATAACTTTTCGACACCAACCAGTTCTTCATGAGATTATTGCGTTCAAACAAACAAACAAACTATTCAGATTTATAATACTATAGATATTGGAAACGGGTTCTTTACTCGATTTCTGATTCTGTGACTTTGTACTTAAAAATGATTTCAGATGAAAAAAATACCTGGCTGTAAATTGTTTCTTGGTGACAGACCAATTCAAATAACTATAGCGAGGGCTTTTCAATCATTGAGTGTTATTGAACTTGGCCAAGTTCTGTACCACTTGACCAATGCGAAGCCAAAACCACTCGAGTAAGTAAATAAAAGACAATTATCTTACAAGCCTAACGTTTCATTATATTAATATCTCCTACATAGTAATATCGCCTAATAGAAAATTTGAGAGAGCGTTGAGAATCTTAGACACACCGCGCTACTCAGTGCAGATTGGTGGGCTTTTACGATATAAATTATTCGTAATGATAATCGGGGAAGCTTTCCGAACACCGGAGATTATGACTCCTGCCTTCCTCTCTTGTGATCTCTAGTCGACTCTTCGAATGAATTTTAATTAATTAATTTATTTATTTATTAAAAAAAAAATTCGCAGCAAATATCAATTGGAGAAGTACAAAGACAGAGACTTCGTTCATGCGCAATTTGAGGAGATTATAAGGGACGTGCCGGCTTTTAAAAAAATATTCCACGTGTTCGTCGACGAGCGGGATAAGTGTCTTGCGTACTCGTTACAAGAATGTGTGCGTACTGGTGAGTACATCGTGTCAAACTTTAAACGGGGTCTGAAACGGTTCCCCTATGGCGTGTGGTAGACATATTTTTGCGTCTGTTTTACTGATTTCCTTCAAGCATCTGATACTACTTTTAAGCCTAGGCGAAATATGTTTTTTCTCCACACCACGAACCTTAAATCGACCGTGCATAATTCTAGGTGATGCCTTCAACCATTGAGCCTCGGAGGTTGTATAGAGTTTGAAATCAGTATTCTGTTTACAGTTGAAAAACCTCGTGTTTTAGCAGTGGTCGGGATGGGTCACGTTGATGGCATTATAAAATATTTCGGAAAGATGAAACAAGAAGATATTGTGCCTCTACTTTTGTAAGTGTACTTATAATATTCCCATAACTAAATCATTTACTGTCTTACTCAGAAACAGCAATAATTTCTGTTCTATTGTTTTGTCTGTTCCATGGTAGGCATGGTAATTGTAAAGTATTTATGAAGTTTTTTTCTTTTCAGCGAATAATATTTTCAGCGGTCCAGAGACAAATAAATCACTTCTTTCAATTAATACAGTAAATGATTGCTGTTTCGACGTACTTAATGCTGGAAAATTTTTCAAAGTGCATATTACCGAAATTATGTTTCAGGACCCCTCAAGTACCCATTCATTGGATAATATTGAATGCCACCCTAAAGTTTACGTTTTACTTTATATTATTTTCTATTTTATATAGGTTGATGTTTGGTTAAACATGTTTTGTATTTAATATTTATTGTCTTTAATTTTTATTTCAGTTAACATTTCTTAAATTTGGAATATAAATTTATCAGTCGTAATAATTCTTTAATTTTATTACGCCACTTTACAGTAAGTTTAGACATAAAAGGGAGGGCACTATACGACACAGAAGCCCCACGTGTAACAACCAAACAATTTTACCCATATTGAAAGAAAATTAAAGGAATTTTTCTAATTTTGATATTGTTTAGGGATTTTAGAAGACTTATAGGACTTTTGTTTTGTTACTTTGCAACGTTAATTAATTTATTAAAAACGACATACAAGTCAATTAATTTATTAAAAACGACATACAGTACAAGTCATAGACATCTAGACTTAAAAAAAAATCCCGCTCCTTTTTTATCAGAGCACTAAAAAAGCTGGCAAAAGTGACAGTTGCATTAAAGATTTGACATTCATACACTCTATAGTATATTCTTACAATTCATATAATACTCTATGGTGACAAACAGGACGAGCTGCCAACTAATCAGTTATCAGCAAGTTATCACCTTATCAGTTATAAGTTGTTTTATTTATTTTGTAAGCCGCTAATATTTTTAAAATTCTTACAAAGAACATTTAATACTTAATAGGGGCTTTAAATATTATTGTATTTGGGTTGCGGTGTCGTACTTCACGAAATCATGCGTTTACTAATTTTATTCATCACCATTATACAAATAAAAAGCATACAAAATAAAGACAATGGTTGCGGTTGTAATGCAAATCGAGAGAATTCTAATCATGCCGGTAACGAAAATTTATTAGGATTAATAAAAGAAAGTGAACACTGCCAATCGACTCATGAAAGTTTAACAATAGATAAAATGGTATTAATACCGAACGGAACCTATCAAGTTGGGACAGATGATGTAGCAATAGAAGCGGATAAAGAAGGTCCAAAACGGTTATTAGAGGTCTCAAGTTTCTACTTAGATAAATTTCAGGTTTCAAACAGGGATTTTAATAATTTTGTAAGTTCAACTAAGTATAAGACTGAAGCTGAAACATTTGGAGACAGTTTTGTTTTTACACTGTTCCTTAATAACACGTTTAAAGAGCAATTGAAGGATTACCGTGTGGCTCAAGCGCCTTGGTGGTATAAAGTGACAAGTGCATCTTGGCAACATCCATATGGACCAGATTCTGATATTTTAGGTAAGATTAACATCTCTTACTTAATTTATTGTATATTAACAATAAAGAACTAAAGTTGAAATAAATCATAAGATAATAGTAGAAGTAGTTCAAGCAAAAACTACTAATTAATCAGAACATTATATTTCTCATTATAGATGTTATGGATCATCCCGTTATACATGTGTCATGGAATGACGCCAAAGCATATTGTGCCTGGAAGGGACTAAGATTGCCAACTGAGTCTGAGTGGGAGGCGGCATGCCGAGGAGGGCATAAAGATACAAAATACCCATGGGGTGATAAGTTATTCCCAAATCGGAAGCATATGTAAGTATAGAAGAAAAATGAAAAATCAAATGTATTATATATATTATTTTCACCTTCTGCTGAGGCGGATTCTGTATAAATGTAGATATTTATAAAATCTTGGCTACTCTTTGAAACTATTAGTCAGAACTATTGTCTTTTTCAAATCATTATTTTACTTGATATGTAATTATGAGTTTTCTTTCTAGGGCAAATATTTGGCAGGGCACATTCCCACACTATAATTCAGCTAAAGATGGTTTTATTGGTACAAACCCAGTGGATATGTTTAAACAAAACGATTTTGGCCTTTATAACATGGCTGGTAATGTTTGGGAGTGGACTGATAGTACTTGGTCAGAAGATATGGTGAGAAATTCTTAAGAAAGTACCTTGATGTAGTTTGTTAAAAATGTACATTATATGGAAGATTCCCAAAATGCAACAGTGGAAATATGTTTAAAAAACTGTAATATTTTTAACATGTTTATTGCACATAAAGGCACTGTATAATTTAAAAAACGAAAATAAATTTAAAAAAAAATTGATTTGGGCGGGACTTGAACCGGCATCGTCAACGTTCCGTGATGTTGCTGCAATTGATTTTTTCAAATTATTATTGATTTTTAAATTACATAGTGGACATATGACCTGGAAAACTTAAAACCAAAAACTATATTTTTTATGTAACCATGAACATGAGATTTATATTACTAGAGATAATAAGGATTATTTTATAACTTATGTTTTATTAGCTATAGTAAAAAAAAATATAAATATTATCTGTATCTGTCTGCTATATGAGTGTTTGTATTCTAAAAACTATTTAACTGTGTTGACATGTCAATAAGGTATCAATATTACTTTAATTTTGTTAATGCATGGATTTAAATAAATTGAGGCATGACAATTTGATGTGTATGTAGAATACATTCATACAGACTTTATTTTCTTGAGAAAAAGTTCTGTGGCATACATATATGATTGTTTTGTTATAAACTAAAAACAATACATATCTTTTATGCACAAAAAAATGTGAATTTTAATATCCTTTAAAACATTATTTTTCTATTACAGCCACAAGAAAAGGTGAAGAAAGGCGGATCATATCTATGTCATCTTTCCTACTGCTACCGATACAGATGTTCAGCCCGATCACATAACACTGCAGATAGTTCAGCTGGAAATCTAGGATTTAGGTGTGCAAAGACTGCTTCATAAGTTTAATAATTCCTTTTATAAGAAACTTTAGAAGACAATCTTTACATATTTTTTTTTTCACTAAAGAAATTACATAATACTTAAATATGTTATTGTGAGTACTTCAAATTAATAAGAATGTTGTCCAATACCTTTATACATACGTATATCAATAGAATTAAGTTTGAGGCTAATCTGGCAATACTAATTTCTCCAAGCTGTTGTTCACAATCTCCTATATTAAATAGTACAAATAATAAATGTGGGTGAATCCACAGCCAACTCTTTATAGTTGTTTCTATGAATTTATTTAGTACTTAATGTGTTTTTTATATTTTAATAAGTGTTTCTATAATTTCTTATGTTGTGTACCCTAGTCTTTCCATTTGTAAGGCAAGCTATTTTATAGAAATATATGATTATCTGTGTTTATATGTTATATTTCTTTGAATTAAAATTTTCTGACTTGATGCTAAAAAAACTGCATCCAAAACATCTTTCTGTCCTATATATAACCATGAAAGAATACTTGGTGTATAAGAAACGATTGCAAAAAGGTAAAAAAAGCCATAACTTCCCTTATAGTTTATTTGCATTTTTGTATAAAAATTGCAATATTACATAAACCAATTATTTTATTATAACTAATGAAACAACTTTATTTACAAAATGGCGAGCATAGCTTTAACTGCTTAAAAGCAGTGCTGTCCTGGAGTACAAAAGCGTCTCAATTCTGATAAGTACAAAACAAAACGGAAGACAAAACTTTATGAGCTCAGAAACTTATTGTTCTAGAAGGAAAAAGGTAACATGTCCAGCTATTATGCAATGTTACGGACCGTCCATAGACTATAGCACACGTAAAGAGGAGGGAGGGGGAAGATGAACAAGACATTAGGTTTACTCTTAAGTTCGTGTACGTCACAATATATGGAGAGCCATACAAATATGTCAAGAATGGTTGAGTTAACAGACATTAAATTCACGTGGTGCAGTTTATAGATGGTCCCTTATCTATGACAAATGCTCGCTGTCAGCTGCAAACTTGGTTTCCAATACATTCTAATGTTAACTAAATTGACTAAATAATTTTGTACCATACATGGTAAACTATCAAATACTTAAGTTTGCAGACGTAGACAGTGAGGCAAGGTATAGTATATGGCACGAAATTAGAGCGCTGATCGAGAGCAAGTGGTAAAAATTTCAATAATTTTTTGGTCCAGTTTTAATTCGTCTTCTAGACTATTCATAAAAAGGAGTTAATAAGTAATCCTCGGGGTTTTTTTGTTCTTGTTCTGTGTAAAGAATTGAGGAAAAGGAGACAGCGCTCTATTAGCTCGTTGTGATGAATAGATTGTTTCAGAGGAGAGAGCACTAGGTTTTGTTTCACGCTCAAACTTCGTGCTTAACCATACGCAATTGTATTTGGTATAAAAAAAAACATAAATTAAACAAAATAAATAGCCAACACAACCTTGGTGACAATAGACGTGAATTCAAATTATAGTCTGGATTTGTGGCATTGACATGTGTGCGTATCTGTGATCTTTTTGATTTTATCTGTGCTTAATGGCAGTCAAAGGCAAATTAACACTTCGTTGTACATCTGCATATCCAGTTTGTCCGTTTATTCACAATTAAATCGTCTTGAGTATGCAAAATATTCTAATAACGCAAGACAATTATCTACCGTAGTTGTGTTAACGTCAGACAATAAAATACCAAGAAGATAATTGACGTGTTTTATGTCGTCATAAAAGTGAAAATAACAGAATAATAAACATTTTAAATTACAAAAACTGCATTTACGTTAAAATTTTTAATGGTACTTTGCATACTCAAATACTTCATAATTAGCTAGGTAAAAATATATTTCACAAAGATATACAGTTAAATGTTGCATTTGTTTTCGAAGGTACTAAACACTGCATCAAAGTCCGTATTACATATTATACTAATTGTCAACGTCAAAAACAATTTGTTCAATTGAATCAAATCATCAAAAAGGTCAGACTTTGAACAAATAACTAATAACTATAAAATCTGCTATGCATATTTCATTTAAATATTTAATTTAAACCATAGTTACAACTTCTCTTTTTTTAGTATTAGCGAGAATGCGACTTAATTTGAAAATTATGGGCCAAGGTAGTAACTACTTAGTAACAAAGTTAAAGGCATAATTAATCATTATTTAACCAGAAAAATTGCTCTAAAGTAAGAATTTAGAGTTTATATTTCATTTCACAAAAATTTATATAAAAGGTTTATTAAAATTATATTTATTCTGAAGTATAAATATTATAAATTTGATTTAGTAAAATACTTTGTATTATAGATAAAAAGTGATTAACACGACTATCTCGGTTCATAATTTCAACAGTTGCATCCTTACATGTTAAATATATACACGAGTACCCAAAAGTACTCTCAGAGGTAACTAAACTAAAAGCAACGATTGTAAAAGTACAAAACGCTATGCGATCACATATCTAGCTATGATTTGTATCATAAAAATAAAATGTACACCACTGATACCGCCTATATACACTAGATAATCACATTTATAAGTCCCGCTATTAAATAATGGCTGTTCAAAATGATTGATAGACATCGGATCGAAAAAAGATATATGTATTATTAAGAAAAATAGTATGAGGACAGTAACAATGCGGTGCGTTTGAAAAGTGACTTTAACACCATGCTTTTAGGTCCATATTCAAACGATGCACCATTTGACATTAACGGAGAAGTTTCAATACGTCCGATGCGCTAATATAGAAATTAAAAAAAAATAGTATTCAAGATGGCCGACGCTATCGATACGTATGAACAGCCATTTTTGACAGCGGGAGTAATAACACTAACACCTCGATTCGTGGATGCGAGCTTGCGACAGGATAGTTCCATCACCGTAACTCGGGATAGGTCCACGTATTGAATGAAGCCGAATTAGTGTGAGTTCGGGCAATGCATCACAGACGAGGGAATGCTAGAATGCGCGAGCGGGGGGTCAGTTGCCCGCGGGCAGAACTGTGCGCGCCCGCACTAGCCCGTTCGCGTGGCCATTGCTGTACCCGTTCTTCACTGAACCGTTTTTGTACGTCACTTCTTCAGCACTGATGTCTGTCGTTACTGGAACTGGCGACTTCGCGCGGGCCTACAAGAGGAGTTATATTAGTAAGACTATTTTACATTAATAACTTAAACCTTTTTGACTAGAACAACATAAATTATATTCCTTATAGGAAGCTATAAACAGACAGTTTACACTTTAATTAAACAAAGTGTGTCAAGTGAACAAATAATAGCATACGAAGACAAATTCCAATAACACATATATCCTACATTTTATTGGTAGTTCTCTGAATATTACGCACCTGTTGACGGCAATATTGTAAAAATAACTCAAAGTAAACCTTATATTGTCGGCAGTTAAGTTTTAAATTTATGGTCATTTCAATTGTGTATCTGAATCATACAGTTTGTCTTTCTGCGTTGAAATTATATTCATTCTTACAAAAAAACGATTGATTAGCGAATTGAATATTACAAAATATATTATCAGTGGAAATGTTTGTGTAGAATAGGACAATTTATATGTATGACGAATTCGTTTGTCCATTGGAAGCAATGTATCAATAGTTATAGCTTTGATTTCTAGTGTATGAACAACCTGGGCATTGAAAGGGTAGGGATATCAAATATTTTCAAAACCGTCAGTGCATCTTAATTATATGAGAAATGCTTCAGCTATTTCTCCTTCAATGAGGAGATGCTTGTCTATCATAGATAAAAAATAAATACCCTTGGTTTCCTGTAGGACTGGTTGTAGAAGTCTTTGAAGAGGAAGAAGAACATGACCGCGTGCATTCCGATCCACCAGACAAATGCTCGCGGGTAGTCGCACTCAATGAATAGAAGTTGGAAGGCGTGCACCATGATACCGATGAATTGAGCCTGAAACACAATTATATATCTGTAGAAAGAACACACTCAAAGGAAGACTATAAGCAATGTATAAGACTAAGTCACCGCTGTCCGTCTCTCATTTATAACATATAAGCAGTTGAAATTCTTGTAGATGATTTTTATTGTCGCTATAACAACATATACAAATAACCAAAATACGATCGATATTTTAAAGGTCTTCAAATATGGATGACAATGTCTTAATAGACAAGATCGAGCTTTGATCATTATTTACTGCTAGGATAATTTCCAAGAATAGCATACATTAGATTAGTTAGTAAATGTAAGTATGTTATATATTTATAGCTTCAGTTCGATTAAAATTTAATGATTTATTTCCTTGTTTTATTTGTAAGGACGCGTCAAGCGAAAGGCCAAATAAAACATGTCCGTTTTAAGAATCCTTCTTTACACTTTTAAGAAATTGCATATTATGATATTATATTATTATTAGTATTGCGACAAAAAATCTTTTGGTGAAGTAATAAAAAATTCGTAATGCGGTTTAAAACGAATTAATCATTCTTAATAATCGCAATTTAAATTTGTTGGAAGGTTAACTCTTTAATATGTATATTCAAATGACAAAATCGATTTTGTCGATCTTATCAAAGGATTAGTTAAAGCGAAAACTTTACAATCACAAGTGCTGTAATTTTTAAACTAAACAACTGATAATGTTTTAATCGAGATTATTGGTATCTATACTAATATTATAAAGGTGAAGAGTTTGTTTGTTATTCTTTGGAACTACTGGTTCAAATTTCAAAAAAATATGTGCTGGTTGGACTTCATCGTGGAAGGCTTTAGAGTATAAAACATCCAATAGGAGCAACGAAATAGTAATGTGGATATAATGAGAAAAATTATTTATCTTTGAGGTTTTCCGTTGCGTCTGCTACGAAAACGGTTTAAGATACCCCAAAAATATATGTGAAAGAATGATTCTTCTTGAAATTATTTTCCACGATATTATAGGTCTATCTATTAAGATAAATTCACAAGAACCGCTTTTATGGTACTAAAATTACCTCTAAATACATCATATGGCAAAAAAATGGCACCAATTTCATTCAACGAACGATAATAATCAGTTCGATAAATCTAGAAATCGATTTCCACAGATAATCTCTACGATATATCGTATCGTGTGTAGCCGGCACAACATTACGAAAGAGCTAAAATTTGTCGTTGGGCCGATTTGTGACATTCGTTATTCTCGGACGCTATGCATTAATAGGATGCACGCAAATTAGGACAAGGCTACACAAAGTCCTTGATAAGAGTTCGACGTAAGCATCGTAATAGTACATTTTAGTTTCTTGCGGCGACTTTATAAGAAAGATTTAATCGACCGAAACACGAGTATATATCTTAATATATTATTTCATATCCATACATATACTTGGGAAATTGGCGGTAGTTTATTTAAATAAAATGCATTAATCTTAAAATAATGTTCACTTATTTTTTACTGTATGTTTTAGCATACATTTAATATTGTTGAAAGAATTTTAATTTTTTAGTCTTTTTAAATCCATAATCTACTTAGTATGATGGAATTCCCACATATAATCTGACAATATTTAAATATATTTAAGATAAATTCTAATGGAAGTAAGCCATTACGCTATAGATAATCTTTGACACTAGACTGAGAGACATTTATCTAGTGATATATGCTTATTATAGTGCAATAATTAAATCATAATCACAATTTGATTCGCATGAGAGCTTTTATAAATCACAATAATGAATATTTCCTAAATTGTGTTAAATTTTAAATAAAATCTGTTAAATTACTTCGGAAAATATTCGATTCAGAATTGTACGTAGCTTACGAAGGATTTTTTATATTTTATACAGCAACATATTAGGTAATTAACAACTTACCATCTGTAAGGTCGTTAGGTACTTCTTCCACCAGAGGTACGGCCTGAATTTAGGTCCCATAGCAGCGATCATATAATACGTGTACATGATGATGTGTACGAAGGTATTTAAGAGACCAAAGAAGGTAGAGTGACCTCCCGGGGTGAACTTTACTCCGAACCAGACAGACATCGGCATAACACCATGGTGAATTACGTGCAGGGTCGATACGTGGTCGAATTTCTTTCGCATCACAAAGAAGATCTGCAAACATGATAGTGCGATATTTTATCTACTGTGTTACCAGTAGTCGTTTTCCAAATAAATGACGGTAGATTTGCGACGAATTTGAATATGACATTTGTAAAGTCAAAAATTATATCAAATTATACCGTCTTTGGTAACGTGATGCCTAAGATTACGTTAAGTTCAAAAAGTCCTGGGTTCAATTATTATATGATTATTTATAATAGTCATTGGTTACAAAATCATAAGATTTTTACGTTGTTAAAAAGGTCACACACCTCTAGACAGACTATTTCTTTCCTATTATTACAAAAATAAGAAAAAAGGTTCTAAAGTTGTTAGGCAAAACTTATTTGATTTTTAACAAAAAGTTAAAGGAAAAAAAAACTTAGTAATAAAGGCAGATCTAGTAATAAATTAAGGTGAAATAAGTAACGTATTTCGTTTTAAACACACACGAAAGATAATTTATAACCTTTAAAATGCAAACCGAACGTGCCATAGCCATTATAATATTTCACGTTTATCACATGAAAATGATAAAAACTATAATCACCAATAAATTCTACACGAAAGTAAAGAGTGGTAAATTTAATAGGCCCACATTTGTGATTAGATTATGTGTAGATTGCCTTATTTTATCATCATTACATTGAATATACATTTTAAAATGTTAAAATTTATTAAAAAATATGAATCGCTTAGTAATGTGTCGGGCCCGGTGGGTATTGAACCTACACCGCCTTGATTATTAGCCACATTTATTATTAACCCCAGCGAGCCTGTCAGAATTTAAAATTTTTGTATCACTGCATGAAATGTCAGATGCAGTAGAACTTACCGTATCAAAAAATTCTGTGAATTTTGAAAAGTAGTACCACCAACATGCGTGAACCATCTGTAAATTTGATCAAAGTATGAATATTCATTCCACATAGCTAAGAATAGAGTTACAAACAAAAGTCAGAGGTCAACAACAAAATCAGAATCTTGTTGTTTGAACTCGAAATTTAAAAAAAAACTAAGCAAATTGTTTTTAAAGCAGTAAACAAGCACTCGGATTTTTTGCGGACCAATTGCATTAGCTTTCATTCCTAAAACTAAATATGGATTGCAATGAGAACATACAACATGTTGATGGTTTGATGTTGTTATATTTAGTGTGAGATAATGTGATTTTGCGATGACTTAACTAAGGTAACGATTTGAGAATTTGATCGTTATCTTAATACAGGTAATTTTGAATTTCGATATCGCCAGTTAGATGAATAAGCTTTCGAATTACAGTCACCATTATCTGTGGTTATAATTAAAATCGTGCAGTGATTAAATTACGCGATAATTAAGTGCGTAACTCTAATCAGTATTAATATTAATTAAGGACAAAATGGATGTGTCGACGTCGAATTGTGAAGTGAGCCTCGAAGGGCTATATCTGATTGTGTTAGACACAGTGATCAAATTTGGAACTACAAGCGAGAGAAACAGAGGTACCGAGGTAGTCTACTCGTGTAGGGTACTATGGGATTCGTATAGTAGAATTAATAATTCACCCTCATCGTTTGTGGATGTTTCGAGTGGTCGACCGGCTGACAGTGAAAGTTATACCTGCCTGTGAACCAGCCTGCAGCCCCGATCTGAAACAATATACCGACACCTCGCCCTGTGTTATCTGTATTTGCGTAGCATGTGGTCATACGTCTACGACCGGTTAATCACCAATCCTCCGATCCTGCCAGCGACATCGCCGCAGGTAAGAATTCGTATAAATGAGGGTCAATGCAAGTCACGTGTAGGCCGATCGTGAGGCATTATTTCGCACATTCATAGACAATTAACAGTAAGGGTAAATATAGAAACATGGCCGGTCTGAAGTTAGCGCGACCGCCATCTTGCGCATGGTAATATCTGTCAATTTTAACCATAAAGTCGAGTGCCCCCGCACACCTTTTGTCGCAACTGATACCTGCTTTTTGCGTTTTGTTCAACCATCCGCGCTAACTTCAGCCCGGCCAAAAAGTTTAGAGAACACTGTACGTAAATATCGTATCAATAACTCGCTATCAATTGGGTCAGAGATACGATGCCATGTGATTGCAGAGACCCGAGTTGTTAGTGTCATTTATATATAATACTTTTTACAATTATAACTAGACTTAATATTACATCGTTGTAGCATAGTTATGAGACATGCGCTGGCGCCGCGTATTTACAGGTCCTGAAAATGATCGCATGTATATTTACAATGGGGTTAGGTTAATTTCTGACAGTGTAGGCTTCTCGCACGTCCCGTCACTTACTCTATTGGCAATAGGGTTGTCAGTGTAGTCCACTGGTTGGCAACGAAGGCTGTAATGTTTCAGCCAGCCTCCCATCATGCTCTGCTCATATTAGTTAAATCACAAAAAATTTAATTTATCTCTGATATTAGCTGTTGTCTTCTAAGACTTATCTTAATTACAATAAAAGAAATAATAATTGCCTTAAACTAAATATGGTACACAATTATGCTATTAGTTTAAGGGGGGAAATGAAAAGTGCGCCACAGGTTTTTTACGCGTCCTTCAGCAGTGTGCCCTTTGAAATCACGAAAAAAGAAAAATATGAAGCAATTTAAAAGTGAAATCTGGTTTTAGTACTTAAACTTTGTCTAAAAGCTCAAGATCGACTGCTTTAAAGTATTGTAGGAAGACTTTCACGAAAGATTTTAAAGTGTATCTACTAGTACAGTAAGCAAGGTGCTCGGGTTCACTTCCTCTTTTAAACATACTTCCTAGCTTCATATTATGTTAATTACACCAGATTTATAAAACTAAATATAAAATTGTGTATCATATTTACAAACATTTTATTTTGTAGTGTTTTTAATAATTATAATTAGTTTTAACTATAAAAAAATTATACATCGAACACAACTCAACACCTCACCTTTTCACTGAAATAAATACTACTTAATAATTAACTGAGATGTGCAGAAGTTTAAGCAAAATTGAGGGGAAATAATACTACGGAGAAGATGTTTTTGAGTTAATAGAAATTCCTTAAATAAGGATTAAAATAGCTGGTAAAGTATTAATGCCTTTTTAAGATGTGAAAGAGTTATTATTTACTAACTTGCATATAAATACTCTTTACTTACTTCTGCAGCTGAAAAGTATTCTTAAGAATAAAGTAATTATTTAAAAGTTACAAATTTATAAAACTTTATGATAAAATCCTATTTTCAAGTGCTCAAGTTATACAAGCTTCTCACTTCAGATAATACAGAATCTTTTCATTACTTTCTGATTGTTATAGTAAATATATTAAGTTAATAATTTAAAATGAATCTCACCTCATAAAACAGCCATGTGCTGAATATTACTTGTAAAAAATTATAAACTATTAACAAATTTGTTAATTCAAATGGCTTTCGGTTTTCCATGTACCTTGGACCTAGAACCTGAAATTAAAAGAAAAGTAAATATTTACACTTTCCAATTTTCAAAATTAGAACATCACTTTTCAGGCTAAGAGACATATTGTGAACTATATTTATCATTTCTTGTTACTAAATTTCACAGTCTGTCAATGGAAATAGGACTAATTCTTTAAATAATAAGTTTCATATACACACCTTGACTAGATAAACATAACTTAGACATATTATTAATGTAGGAAATGGTGAACTCATCAGGAACCATGAATTTGTTCGAGGATCTGTAAATAAGAATAAGAATAAGTCTTATATATTATTAATTTACATTTGTTACTTTATTAGCAATTTCTTTATTAAGTTAATGTCTTTTTTAAATGATAAACACCTAGAAAACTTAAATTTCTTTTTTCAAATCTGTGTCTATAAAAAATGAAATTTTATTTAAACTTACCTCCATACTTATTCATATAATTATGCATATCATTGATGTATTGTAGCACTAAAGCCATTGTGACGGTTTCTGAAAAGATAAATTCGATTTTACATTTACAAAATTACACGTAACCACTAAATTATTTGATTAAAAGGTAGGGTCACAGGATGAGATAACGACCAAGTACCTGTCTTTTACACTGTAATTACTACACTATGACACAATATCTGACTATACAGGTAGAAACGTCGAATACTATTTTAACACTTTTATCATTATTACTTTTGAACAATAAATGTCGGTTTAATTTATAAATGTGGCTACGAGGCTTGTTTTAGAGAAATGGAGCACAATTTCCTCATATTATTTCTGTCTACTTTTCCCTACAGACAGTGCTAGTAGGTACATTTTTTGGCTCTTGCTCAACGGAATGTGTGTCACAGTCACACGCATGTCCGATAAACGTCATCTGTCACGCTGTTTACGTTTGCCGACTGTCAGTCTAACGCGACTGTTAAGAGTGGTTGTCAAATTAAGAAGAAGAAAAAGATTACAAACAATCGAAGTTTAGTACATACTTTGTTAAAAAAAGGCAAAAAACGACTGAATGATTTGAATGCAGGGAAACAAATTATAGTATTTAATATTTCTTTGCTTTTATTTGATCTAAACATTTGCTAAGTTTTAATGACCCAGCAATGATTAGTTTTTTATTTTATTTTACATAAGTGTACCAATCATCTAATGGTAGATCTTTATTAATTATTATTTAGGTTTATATTACACGTATTAATTTAGATAACGTATCTGTACACTTACTGTGTGCAAGAAGTGATAAAAATTTCTATGGCGACAGTTCCAGCTTGCTGTAATGTATGTATCTGTAACAAAATAAAATATAAGTTGATTATTTAATCTGTAAAATAGTTTGACTATTTATTACGAGCCAAATATGCACTTATAATAATAACAATTGCCAATGCCATTGCGAAATAATATTTAAAGGGTCAATGACCATCAATAAACTACTGACCTCAAAAGTTACCTTTTTTTAAATTCAATCAAGTTTAAATTAAGTCAATATAATGCTATATAAAGTTGTTTATAAAAGGTACTAATACAATAGTTAATTTCGTCCGATTATTTAATAAAATAAAAGTACAAATAGGTAATCATAGTACGAATATCTAAAGCTGAAATAGGACGACAGCGCATCTTGTGCAGATGTTATGGGGCTAGGGTATTTCACCTCCCATCAAGTGAGCCCTATGATATATGTCTGTCCTCCTCTCTCATTAAAAATAATCATAGTACTGATTAATTACTGCATCAAAATTGTTGCTGGTGGGTAAGAGCTATTATTTTAAGTCTCCATCTTCAAGGTTGGAAGAAATCGCTCCTTAGCGATAAGACCGCCATTTCTCGCTACATTTTAGTTTTTTTTAATGAAGTTTATTTTGTGGTGAAAATAAAGTATTTTTGTTTGTTTGTATAAGAAGAATAAATTTTGTACGATTACGAGTACGATTCAGATACTAAGTGAGCCCAAGCTTTTGCATAATTATTGTTACTCATGGTTAAAATATTTTACGGAGTGACCACGAAATAAGTAAATACGAAATGGAAACGTCATCAGTAATATCAGGGTCATATATTGCAACAGAGAACTGCTGTCTAGTGAGCTTATTTCTTCACGACCTCAAATGATGATTTTATTAAAACAGATTGCATTAGGAACTCATTCGTTCTTTATACACTTTGTAGAATGAAATACATTATATAAAAATGATTTTGCGAATCTTCGTGAATTTTAGTAATGGGATCAAATATGAAAGTACATATATATTTAATATTTGTGTATAGATGTATAAAATGAACTGTCAATGTACATATTACAACGAAAAGATTGATTTTAAACAAAGCTTTAGGTATCATTGTTTAATAGAAATATTATTAGAATTAAAACCTTACATGAATACGACGTAAAAAATAGGATGGTATGTCGATCATACTAAATATCACTGTACTCTACCTTGGTGCTAATTAAAATTCCCAGTGCAGTCAGCAATTGTACATAAAGAGTATAATAACTTCCTTAGTAGCTGTTTACAAATAAAATTAGTAAATGAGCCTTGATAACAGGCAATGACGTTCCCCATTGTTTCTTGAATAACTATGATCTCGATGGTCACTGCGTAAAAATCACAATGAGAAAGTAATCTAAGAAAAAGAAAAAGGCTACAAAACAAAAATGGAAGGCAAGCTATGTATCAACCTAATATATAAAGCTGAAGAGTTTGTTTGTTTGTTTAAACACACAATCAGAACACTTTTGTGTTGGACTGCTTGGCTATGAAACCGCCCTGTGGCCGGTATAAGCGAAATACAGCGAGAAGAAAAAAATTGGGAAAATTATTCATGATTATGGGTTTTCGAGGCGTACGTTGCAAAATTTGATTAAGATACCCAAAAAATATGTAAAAGCAATGATCCCTATGCTAACTACATATTCCTAAGTCTCCAACACTATATCTCTATATTTTAAGATTAACTTGCAAGAACGACGGGAAGGGACGCGACCGACGTCGTGATTAACAGCCTAAATTCAAAAAGGTTTGCAAAAACACATTTAGATGCCCAAAAAAACTATTGTACGCGGACGAAGTCGCAGACACAGCTAGTGTTCATATAAGACGCATTTATTAAATGTTAAAATTCTTCTTTTCCACTTACGTTATTAGTATTAACTAGAATTTTATTATGAGTTATTTTATTATTATTAAAAGACTTATTACCATTATTTTAGTTCATATTTAGACAAATTTTCATAGATGTTAGATCCTAAGAATAATTTAAATAAAATGCTGGAAACAAAAAAGGAATTACTACTGCTATTCCAGTCTAAAACAAGTGCAATAAATTTATAGATTAAGATTATCACTGTGCCAGAATTAATATAAAATTTAATTAATTAATTAATTGATCACACGTACCTGTACCAAACTGCACTATTATACTAAAGTATATAGATGACATCGAGATAGGAATGATCGCAACACGTGCAGCTTTACCGAGTGTCGAAAATACATTAAAGGTGACTATTATCTGTAGTTAGATATGTTATTTATAATTTTATAGGAATAGTATAAACAGGAAATTGGAAGCGTCGCAAACAGACTCAGGTGTTTGTCTATGAATAGTGAAAATAAAAGCAAAGAGATCGCCAGTGCTATGAGTCACGGCTCGAAGGAGTTTGGATTTGATAAAGGAGGCGGGGATGGTCTGTAGCGCTCGCATAAATAATAAGTATTTGCATTATCTATACACTAACGTTTGTTATTTTTTGTATTCTATTAAGTAGTTAAATAAGAGTTGGCTTAAAGGTCTTGTTACCAGGCCATTAAATATAAAAAAAAATATATAACAAGAACATTGTTCTGTATGTTTCAAAGTTTGACTTTTATGTTGAAACACATATATTCCACCGAAATTAACAATTGTCACAAACTGTTAATTTTTTCACGTCTTCTATCAATATTATTTAAGGATAAATATCAAGTACCTCTTTAAATGCATATTTTAAATTTAAAAAATAATTTCGACGTCGAGTTTAGTTTGTTAAGGGCATAAACGAATAGATATTAATAACTAAGATTTGCTATTACCAGTAGCTAGAACTGATCCCGCCATTTATTTTCCATTGACCCACTTTACAGCAGACATAATGATACGATGATAATGCAATTTAAACACTGATAAGGTAAGTCTCATGTCTCTATTCGTCATTTTAATGATAAAATTAATAAATAAGTGCAAAGATAAAAAGATTATATCTTTACACCTAAAAAGCTTACCTAACATTGTTATCTACATGTGTACTCGTTATTGTCATTAAATTATGGTAAAACTAGTGACTTAATAATGAAGTAAATAAGACATTACATAATTAAAATACAGATTTTTTGTGACATATAATATTAAAGGATAGCAAGAAGTTTTTAAATCGCTGACAAGGAAATAGAGGAGATAAAAATATGGTTACAGAAATACCGAATTGTATATTCAACTCGGGTTTGCAACGATGTTGTTACACGTTTCAAAAGTATTTTTAGTAAAATACAGGTTTTATAAAAACCTGTGATAAGTCGCCAGATAAAAGACAGAATCGGTTGCTATATGTAATATTATTCGACTGTTTAAAAATAAAGTTTCATACCAGTTTCAAAATGAGGCTCTCAAACTTACTAATACAGTCAAATAAGCTAAGGCTATTTTAACAATAACATATAAACAAAGTTAGTCTTAAATACTGCTTGTAGTTTACGCGACTAGTACACACTTAAGTAAAACACTTTGAACGGTTAAAAACCTCGGACTGTGGAAAATTATTTGTAATGTTTTAAAGAGTAAAATAATATAGATTTCTTTAAATTAAGAATGATTACTATCTAAATGTTAGAAGGGAGTAAATTCTGTCTAAGAGGAACTAATAATGCATCGCTGCCTACAACAAGAAGTGTATAACAATATTTTTAAAATGCATTTTATGAAAATGTTTCTTTCGCTGTCTAGTATCAGACAAAATATACGATTCGAGACAGTTCCAAGGCAGATATAGGTCTTTCGTATAATACTTTACACCTTGATTATCGATACTAATATATAAGGCTGAAAAGTTTGTTTGTCTGTTTGAACGAGCTAATCTCAGGAACAACTGGTTCGAGTTGAAAAAGTCTTTCTGTGTTGTTTAGAGCATTTATCGAGGAAAGCTATAGGCTATAAAACATCGCGAATTTAATAGAACACCCGACTTATAGGGCGACTAAGAAACAGCGAGAAATGTGGAGAGAACGTTGTGGTTCAAAAGTCACTGACAGGGTAGTAACCCAGATTACTAAATCTAATTAACGCCGCAAAATGTTAGTCACAAATGTGATTATATATTTCGTCCGCAAGCCGCTTATCAAGTTCAAAATTCTGTTATCCGATAAGATACGTGCCGCGATCGTCAATTCGTTTGTTTAATCAAACGTTTTTTCACGTCTC